TGACTATGGTGCTAAAATAACTTTTTATATAAAGTTTGAGGTCTTTAAATTACATGTGCAAGTTTGGGGTGTTTATCTCACACTCCTTCAAAGTTTGAGGTATTTTAATTATTTTCCCCATGATTTTATATCTTTTAATACGATCAATGGTATTCCATAGCAGGGAAATGCCTCAGTAGATAATTGAGTTGATATACAAGCCTTTTGCATTTACTTTCATATATGTTTAATTTTTGTTGGGTTTATCTTTTTCATATTGGTGAGCAGAGAGTTCTCTTTGGGTAACCTTTTTCTCTGGAAGTTTTTTGGATTTCAACGAAAGTTTTCGATTTGAAGAATAATTGTGTGATTGAGGGAGTGGTCTTTGTTAACTTTTTCTTCTTGACATTGTTATTTAGATATCTTAGTTTTTTTTATCTGTTTCTTCCTCCTAGCATTGGATAGGTAAACTTCATTTTCATATATAGAACGGTCTTTGACTTTGAGGTATTTAAGGCGCCTATCATTTCTGTTGTTGTGCAGAAAGTTGGTAGCTGAAGTGAAGATCTTGAATCACAGTGAAACATGCGGTGACACTGAGTTGCATTGGAGGTATGCTGCCAGCAGTGGCAACTTCCTTCGCACACTGAATTTCAGAAACTATCAGTGTTTTCCCGAATGATAAAGTTTTTGAGAACAAGATTGACAACTTACAAACAACTGAAAGTAACACTAAGGTCATACCACTAATTTAAAGTTATACTCCCTCCGTCCCAAAATGAACTTCACAGTCACTATTCACATGGTCAACTTAAATTACTCTTAATCTTATGTTTTATATATCAAATTTTTATCAAATTTAAATTTTTTATCAGCCTTTGTAGCGGTTTTAATGTAGTTTCTCAATATGTAAATTTTATTTACTAAAAGTAATTTGAGTATGAACAGGGATCGAGTTGCTTTATCGTCGGTCAAGCATCGTAATCCGAAACGGGAAGTTAATTTGGGGACGGCGGTAGTATTAAATTTGTGTTAAGTCTTTTTGCATCGTAACCTCACCATCTGAATAAGCTTTATTGAATCTACTTTCAATAAGCCCCTTGATCCTGAAGCTGAAAGTGTACTCATAATCTTCTTTACTTCTTTGTTTGGCATTGTCTCATGAATGCTCTTTTCTTCTCCTTCTTCTTGAGTTGATTCTTTGAGTTCCCATTGGTTTCCTCTAGCACCCAGGAAACCATTAAAAATTGAAGTCATTTTTGCCATAATCAAGTAGCTAAGATTATTTGAAGGTAACCATGAGACGCGAGCAAGTACTTAGCTGGAGACCATCAATACTATAAGTTTCACTTTGGAGAAGAAGACATCCACAATTTTTTGGTTGTCGTGTTCGAAGGACCCTGTATGTTAGCCCATTGAATTTGGTAATAGTTATATAGTTCCACTAGGAACTTCTGTAAAATGTTAAAGAATGTTTTTGAAAGAGCTTCTTTCAAATATATCATATATGTGCTATTGAATAAATTCCTTAGTCTATAAAGATTGAGTGAGTTTGCAAGTGTGATTAATATCTTTGCTATGTGAAAAATATCCTCATAACACAGCCTTGGCACACTAACAACTAACATTACCTTGATTTCACTGTCCCACCTAATGAAAATTTTAGCTTCTATGGTAAGGATTTAGAACTCATTAATTTTTCAGTTTTTAGAAATTTCCCTTAATTACGATTAAAAAACGAAATTTCCCTTAATTAATCATCTTTGAAGACATACTCTAACTCTATTAATAATATGCTTCTTGAAAAATGCAGACCAACAGGCATCATCGAACCATATAGAGATGTGTGAGTCATGCTAGAAGTCCCTGAAACTTGAAAACGAAAAGCTCTCATAAGTAAATCACAGAAAGTGTGAATCACACATTCAAGGAAAAGTTTGTGTTTTGAGGATTATAGTAGTATAGAAAATGAAAATTCACCTACATTGTACAAGGCTCATGACACAATCCAGCATGATAAGAAATTTACCGATCGAGCACGTTCTTTTGACTTATGATATGACCTCAAAACGTATGGTACAAATGTGTCTTATAAAAATTAATTTTTACTATATGTCCCCCGAAGGAACATATGAGAACATTTATGGAAAGTGAATATGGGGCGTCTCATTAAACTATATGTGCTGCATAAGTATCTTTCAAAAAAAAATGCTACATAAGTACAATTATACATATTAGATTTCTTAATATGTTAGGTACTCCATAATACTACCTCCACCGTCCCATAAAACTTGGCCAACTTTCCTTTTTTGGACGTCCCAAAATTTTTTTCTATTTCCATTTAAAGTAGTAAATATGTGGCTAAAGTTATTTCTCTCTCCTCTGCACAAATATCAACTACACAATTTTTACTTTATTAATCTACGTGCAAGTCAACATTGGTCAAGTTTTATGGGACGAAGGGAGTATTTAGTAAACATACATTGTGCAAAACATCCTATTGCAAGTTAAAGAATGAGCATATAAATTAGCTTTTATTGAAGAGTTGGAGAGTAACTATCATGTTAGGTTGGCCTTACAGGACCCTCTGTATGGACATGCCCGTTTGACGGGCTCCCGGGTAAATGTTTTTGATGAATTTTTTTGAACATGTTCTCCATGAAGTGTAGGTTAGCTTTACAAAATTTTAGTTTAAAATTTGATTTGGAAGACAATTAAATAAACTATTTAAAAGCACTGGCCTTTAAATATATAAAAATAGTGCGGTATTTTTCAATAATTTATTCATCTGGCTTCTTGATCGAATTTTAAGCTGAAATTTTGCGTCGATAATATATACTTCATGAAGAACATGATTACAAAAATTTATCAAAATATTTCACCGGGAGGGGAACCAACTGGCCTTAACTGTAAGGCGAATCCTGTCAGACCGGCTTGATAGGATCATTCATCGAGACTCAGACATTCAACACTATTTAGTAATTACATTCTGTAGCAGGGTAGCAGCATACGGGTGGAGATGCAACAAGGACAAAACAAGGGGAAGAGAGGAGATGAAGAACAAATATAAGCGTGAGGGTGTCCATGTTTAATTCCCGTTGGGGAAAGAAACCGTAGGAAACTCTGAGTGTGTTCTTTGTGATGTCCCATTTTTATGTATGGTGAGTTGCATGTTGGAGTTTTGAGGGTGACAATTTCATTTTACTTGAATTTAGTGATATGCGATGAATAAAATATAAAAACTCCAAAACATGTCATCTACTATGAAGTCTTCAATAATTTGTAAATTTTGCTCTTATTTAATTTTTAATGTTTGTAATTATTTATGTATTTATGGTTACCCTCATGCGCATGGTAAAAAATAATACTCCCTCCGGCTCTTAATGAAGCTTACACTTTGACTTCACACATATTAAGGAAATAAATTTGACTTTACTGTAGAGTACACTATTTGACACTGTTTTGCATTGTTTGGTATAGATTTGTTTTCCAAATAAGACAAATAAAGAAGTGTAAAATTTAATATGGGACGAACTAAAAAAGAAAGTGTAAAGTCAATTAAGAACGGGAGGGAGTACCGCTATAATATACTCCCTTCGTCCCCCTATAATTGTCCCATTTTTCCATTTTTGGATGTCCTTTTATTATTGTCCCATACCGTATTTGGTAACATTTGTGTGGCTCTAATTCATTCTTACTTTATTTCCACTTTATCAACTCATTACCAACCACATAATTCTACTTTTCTTAAAAATCACATCACATCACTCCCGTATCAATATTAGGGGGCGGAGGGAGTACTTCGTATATTGCTATAATCTATCACTAGCTTTCAAGCCCGTGCGACGCACGGGCAGTATGTAATTTAGCTAATTTGAAATTTAATTTCTATCGGATCACTTATAATGTGATTTAAAAGAAAAATAAACTTAGTCTAATATAGAGTCTGTTTGATAATACTAAAGTAAAATAGAATTAACTTATTTTGCTGAAATGGATTGAGTTCGGGTTAAATAGGTGGAATCTTTTGAAACATGAAAAATATATGTGAAATATATTCCATTTGTGAAACAAAGAAAAAATATATGAAAAAAAAAGTTAAATTGGTCTTCTACATAAGCGTCTCAAGTAAACATAATTGTTATGAATCCAATAATAAAAAAATTCTATATTTCTTAATTGTTAGATCTTACAATTTACTCATTAATAAGAACGTTTTTAATTGAATTAAAATCTCGGGTTTGATTTGGTATGAATTAATATGGTCTATTAGATGTCTGTTTTTTATGTGACTTATTGTTATAATTATTAAAGTTTGATCTGATCTGATCTGATTTAATCTGGAACTGAAATCAATTCAATTAAAAACATTCTATTAAAATAAAAGTAGGAATTCATAAACCTATAACGATTTTCTAATTTGGATTAGGAATCTATTTCAAAAGTGAAGACATATTTGAATTTTAGGTGTAAAATAAAGAAACAACCAAAAAATTTACTTATTTGGCTAAGCTAAACATATTTACTTGTAAAAATATATATACTTTATGTTGGTTATAATTTTTAATTTCATTTTTAATTATTCTTATTTGAAGCTTGCTAATTTATTAATAGGTGTCAAATTAATAAGTAAACTAATTTGCATATTTTTTTCTATTTAATTCGGTGTAGTAAACTAATATAAATTAGTTTCCATATCAATAAACGTTATTAGAATTTCACTTTGATAACAAAAAATTATTTTACTTATTTGAAGCTTACCAAATTAATTAAGGTGGATTTATAAGGATTTTTGTTTCCATATCAATATGCAATCAAAAATAGAATCTAATAAAAACAAAAGGTATAAAATAAGTAAATAATTGTTATATACAATGACATTTCTGGCGCTTTGCATGTTCTTAAAAAATTCATTTTTTATACTATATGTATATATTCATATTAATATTGATTGCTCTTACGTTTGACAAACAATTTGAACGAGGGGCTCTTATATTTCCACCATTTGCCCTTTATGTTTTCCATTTTCAACCCAACAATGATTCTCACAGTATCCAATCCAACAACTGCCACATCAGAAAAACAGTTCGTAGAAGAATCGCCCTTAAACCCTAATAGTTTGTTCCTCTTCTCCGCCGAACAAGACTGAAGACTCCGGTCTTCCCCGACTCCTCACTTTTCAGTGACCGCAAAATGCGCCAAAGTGATGCAGAAGCTACTAAGCAGAAGCCGTATAGTCACCGCAGCAGTCCCATCCCTTAACTCTCCAATTCCTCATTTCTCACATGAATTTCATTTGCTAGAATTTCCCAAGAATTCCAAACAAACCCTTAGCCCCATGGCTACAATGCCGTCACCGGTCACCTCCACCACCATCCATTTCCCCCACCTTTCTCGTCCAAGCACAGCTTCACAAACCATGGCTTACCCCGACGCCTGTGCGGGGTTGTCTAGTTCCCGTAGTTTTTATCTTGAGTGTACGGGCCCTCCGAGGTCATGGGTGGTTCTGAGACAGAATAGTAACAGAGGGAGCCGCAGAGCGTGGTTCGGAACTGTTGCTGCGGGTTCAGAAAAGGTTTTGCCGGCGCCGGAGGTGGGAAATGTGGCTGAGAGGTTGAAACAGATGGACGATGTTGTTGAGACAAGTGAGGAGAAAAGTAGTGGTTTGGAGGAAAAACCGGCGGTGAGGTCGCAGAGGAGGCAGAGAGGTGGAAGTGACACATCGGAAAGAGGGATGCCCGGAGGACCTGATTTGCTGACAATACCTGGAGTCGGGCCTAGAAATTTCAAGAAGCTAGTTAAGAACGGGTTTGAGGGCGTGTCTCAACTCAAGAAGCTATACAGGGACAAGGTTCGCACAAATTTACTTTTAAGAAGAATACGAGTATTTTTTATCCTTTATTAATTTTTTATTTTTAAGTTTACTTGAGTTAATTAATGCTTTCTTGTAGTGCTGTTTGCTTCTGAGTTGCTTTTCATTTGCATCACTGAGCTGTACATAATTTAATTCAGAATGCAAGACTTGACTTTGGAATTGATAGACCCTTTCTTCTTAAACATTGCTCTGTTTTGTTTCAGACGGGTATGTTTTATTATAGTTCAAAGGACTAGTTTAGAGTCAAATTATGCAGAATTTTGCTGGAGTTTTGGAAATTGTAATCTTATATGCTTTGCTGCAAATTCTATAACTTATAGGACACATAGGATCATGGAAATGCCGGGGAAAGGAAAGATACTTTAGAACACATCTGGATTTACCTTAGAAATGAAAAAAGAAAAAAGAAATACTCCCTCCGTCTTTTAAAACTTTGCCAAGTTTGACCGGCACGGGATTAATAAAGTAAAAACTGTGTGGTTGAGGTTTGTGCAGAGGAGAGAGAATTATGGATCCACAAATTCTTTACTTAAATGAGAAAGTGGCAAAGTTAGTGGGACATCCAAAAAAGAAAGTTGTCAAAGTTTTAAGGGACGGAGGTAGTACTACCTATAACTTATAGGACACGGTAGGATTATGGAAATGCTGTGTACAAGGATGTTTGGCCTTACCGTGGAAATGCAAAAAGAAAAAAGAAATATTTCTAACTTCTATATATGGATATGTATGTGTGTGCATATCTTAGTCTTTATACAATAGATGTTCATTGTTGAAATGAGTTCGGACAAATATGTAAACGGAATTTGATTGAGTTCAAGTCTACTCTCTATTTTCTCCTAAATTATCTTTCCTTCCAATTTTCCTGTCTATTCCTTCATGTTTTTACCCCAGGTGTTTTCCGGGTTCAAATTGGTCCCAAAGAGAACTGGTTTTCTTCCTCACTAATAAGAATAGCGTTTATAATTGTAGTTATATGTACATGTTTTGTCACGTGTTAGACATATTAGAGTTAACTTTTTCCAATAATGCTAACCATTTAGTGGTCTATATGGATGGAGGGTTGTCGAGTTGTGGAGTAGAAGGCTTTGGAGGGCTTAGTTTAGATCGCCTATAACATTATTCATTTATTCCATCAATTTTTTAATGAAATTTCTTTAATATATCAATGTTTAGACTCACCCCTTCAAAGCCCTCCATCTGTAATGACACTTGGACTATGTTTGGATCGTGGGAAAGAGAATAAAAGACCAAGGGAAGTTATTTTTCTTGTGTTCAGTTATACCTTGAGAAATGCAAAAGAAGTCAATTATGATTGATGTTTGAAGAAAGTTTACATGCTTTTAGATAACTAAGTCTTTATATAATACAAATAGATAAAAAATGAGTTTGAACAAGTCGATCATTTCCCCCCTTCTTTTCTTTCCATACAATTTTCTGTTATACTACGTATTTTCTTTCACTAGGCTTTCTGAGTTGAACTGTCCCTTTGACTTTTAGCTGGAGGAGTGAGAATTAAATTTTATGCCTTGATGCTTATTTTTTGCTTAAAGCTTCCATACTGATAAGAATGTCATAGCTCTGTAGTTCTTTGGGAAGTCAAGTCAGAAGATGGTAGAGTTTCTACAGAGTTCAGTGGGAATTGTCCATAAAAACCATGCAGAGAGTATCACAACTTTCATAAAGCAAAGTGTAGATGAAGAGGAGACAAAAGAGGACACTGATTCTGGTCAAAGGGTGACACCAAAGAAGCGGATCACATTTTGCGTGGAAGGAAACATAAGTGTTGGAAAAACGACTTTTCTGCAAAGAATAGCTAATGAAACCCTTGAGTTGCAAGATCTTGTTGAGATAGTTCCGGAACCTATTGACAAGTGGCAGGATGTTGGCCCCGATCACTTCAACATATTAGATGCGTTCTATGCTGAGCCTCAGAGATATGCGTATACCTTTCAGAACTATGTTTTTGTTACAAGATTGATGCAGGAGAGGGAATCGTCTGCTGGTATTAAGCCTCTCAGGTTAATGGAAAGAAGCGTTTTCAGTGATCGGATGGTATGTATAAACACATCCTTTTTGACATTTTTTTACTTTCGACGAGCCTTTTTTTACTAATATTATGATAATTTTATTTTTTAAAAATTATTATCAACATACAAGTCTCTAAACTTCGACACCGTCAATCATTATCTAAGATGGCATCTGGTAATGTTTCTGTTATCACTCATTCACTTGTACTTTTTCAAACACAGAAGCACTGAAATTCGAGGTGTTTGAAGTTTGAGTGATTGTTTTTGTTTTCAGTTTCTTAAAACTTAAAACTTAAAACATGATGTTTTCATTGTTTTGGGAATATGTGTCGAGTGCTGATACTATTACTGAAAAATTAGAACTTTTAATATAATAAAAACATCTCCTTAATAAATAATATAAATCATATATACAAGAGTTCAAGAATTGTTTACAAATACAATTCATAGTTGTAGAACCTTTTGTCCAATAAAGGAGTCTTATTTATTTGAATGAAAATTTTGAAACAAAAATATTAATGTAGATTGCGAGAAAGGTAAAAACTAAAAACAAGATAATGATCATGAAATTAGCTACATAAAGAAATGCATGTAAATGTGTATGGGTTGGCTTTCAAGAGAATTGCACCTTGCCAGATTATAAAAGTTTTAATTTGACCAAACATGACTATTTTTATGCAGCATAAAGCCTGTAGTGAATTGACTATAATTAGCACTAGTATAAAAATATATATTAAAGAAAATGATTTAAGAAAGATGATGCATTTTGATGAACAATGACTGCATACTTATTATGACATAGAAAGCCCCATTAAATAAATGAACAAAAAAGCATGTTTTTTATCCGAACATAAAAGATATTGCATGGAAGCATTACCAAATTAACCCTTGATAATTTTTCTTAAATCTTAAGATCCTATCCTGCATTTTGTTTTGTTTTCAATCCTCCTGTTCATTTCTTCTAAGGAATATTAACTATTGAAAACAGTATGCTGTACAAACAGCTTTACTTTAAACATTTCACTTTCACATACGCTAAAAGGGAAGCCCGGTGCACATTGGCATCCCCACAAGGCAAGGGTCTGAGAAAGGGTCCAACCACAAGAGTGTAAAGGGGACAAGTCTTCCCTTGTCATTTTTGACAAGAGGTCACTCCAAACCAAGACTTGAACCCGTGACCTCTCAGTCACACAGCAACATCGTAACCGGTCCACCAAGGCTCCCTTTCTCACTTCCTCATAACACTACTTACACATTTCTTTAGTTAACAAAAAATCATAATTTATAAAGGTCTTTGTGAGGGCTGTACATGAAGCTAACTGGATGAATGAGATGGAGATCAGCATATACGACTCGTGGTTTGATCCTGTCCTTTCAAGTTTACCTGGGCTGGTACCAGACGGCTTCATCTACTTACGGGCAAGTCCAGATACTTGCCATAAGAGAATGATGATGCGTAAGAGGTCCGAGGAGGGTGGGGTTTCCCTTGAGTACTTGCAAGGTTTGCATGAAAAACACGAGAATTGGCTTTTTCCTCTTGAAACTGGGAATCATGGGGTGTTATCGGTTTCCAAACCGCCTCACAGCATGGACAACTCCTTGGCTCCTGAGATTAGTGATAGGGTTTTTTATTTGGAGGGAAATCATATGCATCCTTGTATTCAGAAGGTACGTCTCTTGCCGTCTATGACTCTATGTGGGGCTGGAAAGATAATTCATTCATTTAAATTGGTTTGGCAAAAACAAATATGTGTAATTTTTTTAACTGAATTTGGGGGCCGCATCGGCATCCCTTCAATCTGTGTTAGGTCTAGTCTGCTGCTCGCCTAGTGGTTTTTAAACTACTGGCAAATTATAAAAAAATATTTTCGCGGGAAGAATTGCAACAAACGAAATAATTTACGTTGTTCGATTTTTAACAGGTCCCTGCTTTGATTCTTGACTGTGAACCAAACATCGATTACAGCAGAGATATTGAAGCGAAAAGACAGTATGCCCCTTCCTCTTTTTCCCCTTTTGTTATGAGTAAATTTATGTCTTTATTTTGAAAGAAATGTCCATGTCATTACTCTTTACCAATGTCTATGATTGTCTCATCTCTAACTTGGTATTTCATTTTGCTCAACTCCTAACTCCTTATAGAATTCATGATGGGATTGGGGTCACTCAACTAGACCACAAAGCACGTCGGCCGAACACACTAAAAGAAACCCATCATTTTCCTAATTTGGTGTTGATGGCAGTTAGGTCAGACCATCAGACCTGAATTGAATACTACAACAACAACAAAAACATCTAAACCTTAATCCCTAAAGAATTTGGGGTCGGGTAACATGAATCGATCTATGATATCGATGTCAAACAGAGAAGACGGACAAGAAGAGGGGAAAAAGTAAGATAAAACGGATAAAATAAAAATATAAGATAACAATAACAAGAGCCTAAACCGTGATATGTATCATACATAATGTATGGGGTCAGCTCTATAAAATGGGTGGTGTGAACTGGGAACCGTAACTGCACTCGAATTGTACTGGAACTGTATGCTCCCCTACTAATGCTTAGGCTATGGTTTTTACGAACAATGCTCTCATAAATTTATAGAATGTTAGGACTAAAGATGATTGTCCTAACAAATTTCGTGACGGGATGTGATTTTAGGTATGCACGCCAAGTTGCCATGTTTTTTGAATTTGTGAAGAAAAAGAAAGAAGTGACTACTACCCCTGGATTTGGAGAGTTCTCATCAATGCCCCACCAACCACAAGTGATTCTTCCTCACAAAGGAGAGTTATGGATGCCTGGGGGCAAGTTCTCGGGTTCGTCCATCAAATCTCTGGATTTCAGGAAAACTGTGCCCTCTATGTCCCACTAGGGGATATATAATTTGGTGACAAGAAGCGGTGTCCTGATATGTAAAAAGTTGCACTAAGAAATCCTTGACATTGTTGATGTTCTAGGGCAGGTCTGTTTTTTTTTTCATTTGGATGCTGTCAAGTGCATGCTTTGTTTTGTTAGGCAGTATGTTGTAGCCAGTAGCCTTTTGGGGGTCTTTTGGCCCTGGCTTTGCAGGGCTGAGATTGTTTGGCCGTTTTTGAGAACACGCAAGTTTAGATTATGCAAAGCGTATATATGTTATTTGATTTACTTAATATGTATAATATGTATATACGGACTCATAATATTTTAGTGCTGCTTACTGAAAATATGAATAATGAGTAATGACTAAGAAAAAAGAACCCAAATTGAATAGTTGAATAAGTCAAATTGGTCATGTCTTAATTAAGTTCATGAGAACATTGCTGTATATGAGATTAAGAGTGCTGTATTACTTTGATTTGACATGAATCGATGTCTATATCTACAAGTGTTTTTCTCATTTTAGAAGAGACCGTTTTAAGTGTATTTTAATCGAAAGAAAGCTAGTGATGGACTCGGGCCGGGTGGCCCGACCTGGGACCGGTACTGTTCCGGCCCGGCCCGACCCGGTGGCCCGGTCAGTGACTGGTCCGGGTAGGCCTGGCCCGTGGGTTTTCTGGTCCGGGCTCGGGTCACCCAAAACAAGGCCCGACCTGGCCGAGCTCGGGCCCGGTTCGGGCCAAAAACTTTTTTTTTTCCAATTTTTTTTAAATTTTTGGGTTGGGCTGAGTATTTTGGGCCATTTGGGGTGGTTTGGGGGTTGGAGGTGGGAGGGGGGTTAATTAGGAAGAGGAAAACAAAATACAAAAATTATAATGGGCCCGGACCCGGACCGGACCCAGTGGTTACCCGGGCCGGTCCCGGATCCACCATTTCTGACTTGTCGGGCCGCCCGGGCCTAGGCTCGACCCGGCCCGCCCGGACTCGAGTCCATCCATAAAGAAAGCAATCCCCAAGTCCCCCCAACATATCATCAGTTCATCACATGTCATTTTTTATATTTTATAAAATATAGATCAAGATATATAGATCATGTTCACCTAATGACCTATACGGCTATACCAAGATAATATAGAATATGGTGTCATTGGTGTGCATTGTAAAGGGCAAAATGATCTTTGAATTGGCTTTGTGATCATTTAATCACTTTAATCTAATCTTTTAATGAAATAATTTGAAATAACATACATGTTGTCTCATATGTACTGCGTTATTTTAAGAACTTTTTATAAAGAAAAAATGACATGTATATTATTAATAGTGTTTGCAAACAAACAATATGACTAGTTATGTTTTCTGGACAAAAATATAACTAGTCACTGTGTACGAGTAATTGAATACTGGTTACTATAATGTATTTCAGAGTGATAAGTCAGTGGTACATGATGAGTCATTTTGAACTTTTTTGAATGTGTCACTTTTTTGAATTTTTTTTAAAGTCGTATTTTTTATCTTTTGAGTTTAATTTAATCAATATATATATATATATATATATATATATATATATATATATATATATATATATATATATATATATATATATAAGAGGAACTTTTTAAGAGCATACCAAGCGCCACATAATCCTGTTATGTCATTATATATAACAATTATTTACTTATTTTTGTACCTTTTGTTTTTATTAGATTCTATTTTTGATTGCATATTGATATGGAAACAAAAATCCTTATAAATCCAACTTAATTAATTTGGTAAGCTTCAAATAAGTAAAATAATTTTTGGTTATCAAAGTAAAATTCTAATAACGTTTATTGATACGGAAACTAATTTATACTTCGTATTAGTTTACTACACCGAATTAAATATAAACAAATATGCAAATTAGTTTACTTATTAATTTGACACCTATTAATAAATTAGTAAGCTTCAAATAAGTAAATAATTAAAAATTATAACCAACATAAAGTATATATATTTTTACAAGTAAATATGTTTAGCTTAGCCAAATAAGTAAAATTTTTTGGTTGTTTCTTTATTTTAAACCTAAAATTCAAATATGTCTTCACTTTTGAAATAGATTCCTAATCCAAATTAGAAAATCTTTATAGGTTTACGAATTCCTACTTTTATTTTAATAGAATGCTTTTAATTGGATTGATTTCAGTTCCAGATTAAATCAGATCAGATCAAACTTTAATAATTATAACAATAAGTCACATAAAAAACAGACATCTAATAGATCATATTAATTCATACCAAATCAAACCCGAAATTTTAATTCAATTAAAAACGTTCTTATTAATGAGTAAACTGTAAGATCTAACAATCAAGAAATATAGTTTTTTTTTATTATTGGGTTCATAACAATTATGTTTACTTGAAATGCTTATGTAGAAGACCAATTTAACTTCTTTTTTTCATATATTTTTTTCTTTGTTTCACAAATGGAATATATTTCACATATATTTTTCATGATTCAGAAGATTCCACATATTTAACCAGAATTCAGTCAATTTAAGCAAAATAAGTTAATTCTATTTACTTTAGTATTATCAAACAGACTTTATATTAGACTAAGTTTATTTTTTTAAAATCACATTATATGTGATCCGATAGAAATTAAATTTCAAATTAGCTAAATTACTCTATAATATTAATGGAAAAAGGTCTATTATATTATAAAGACCTTTCATCGTGTTTGTTTTTTGAAGTCCCACCATACGTGTATTACTGTATTGGATGTGGTGGATTTTTTTATATTCATCGACTTTTAAAGAAGTTCATAGACTTTTAATAAATAAATTTGTTGATTTGAATAAATTCAAAGATAAGTCGTGAATCATTAAAGAAGTTCATATGCTTTTAAATATGAACGACCGACGATCGATTAAGTTTCTTTCAGATAGTTGTCGTCGATTTTTCAGAATCTCGCCGGTCTGTCGTTGTCGCCAGAGTTCACTGATGCCAACAATGGATTGATCTTAGCTATGCAAAGTAACTAGGGGCAATTAATTATATGAAGTATTAATTTATTAAAGTTGTGATAAAAATGTAATATTTAGTCCTCCTTAATTAGAAAAATTCAAAATTGGGAGAATGGTCAACAAACTCAAACTCGGTGCTACATGTGGTAAGAGCGTACGTTAGGGATGGACTAAGACGAGTCGGCCCGACCTGGCTCGGCTGACCAAGACCAGACACGAACCCAACCCGTAGGAATAAATAGGCAGGCTGCAGGATTGGATTTTATTGGACCGGCCCAGTTGGGTCGGGCCCGGTTCGGGCCCAAAATGGACAAATATTTTAAAAAATAAATTCGGTTTGGGGCCCTTGGGTTGGGACGGATTAGCCTGACCTGGGCCCGGACTGGAGCTTGACCCGACCCGGTACTGGGCCCTTGAGCTTGACCCGAGCCCGCCCAGTCCCGGTCTAAAGCCCGGCCCAACCCATGCCTAGTGTACGTGCTTCGGACCAGAAGGCCGCATGGGTCTCTGTTGGCTTCAGACCAGAGAGCGAGGGTCTCTGTTGGCTTGAGACAGAACTGCTCCGGACCAGAGAGTGAGGGTCTCTGTTGGCTCCGGACCAGAGAAGCCCTGGGGTGTTCTGGTCGCGCAAGTCTGCCGTTACGAAAGTTAATGCCCAACGTTCTTATCTTTTAATGTTGCGTTAAATGGACAGTTTATGGACGATTCAATGCCCAACGGACTGGTCATTGATGTCCAACGTTCAGGTCCATTAACACTCCATTTAACACACAACAAATCCTCCTATAAATAGCTGGCAGGTGCATTGCAACAAAAAAACAGCACACAATACATTCCTCACGTATTTTTGAGCTCTAAAACACTTCTAGCTACTCCGAAAATTCCTGAGTGTTCTGCCTTTGTTCCCGTTCGCCGGAATTCTCGTTTGTGTGCTCAAATGTTAGTTCGTTAGCCACCGTATCCTTGGAAACGGTCGTTGCAACGCTCCTAGCACCGTGGGAGTCGACGAATACGTTTTAAGGACATCGTGCGTAGCACGAGTTGTCGCTAAACTCTGTTCCATCTTATTTCTGTTTTTCTTTAGCTATTTAAATTAATTAATTATTTCATTAATTCATATTTCTTTGTTTTCCGAGACAAACCCAACAATCTTAAAACGTATTCGGTGATTGTTCAACTCCGGTAAACAATCTTAAACTGTAGTTTGTCACTTTGGTGAACGAACATATTTTTTTGTGTTTTCGGAAAACGTAAGAAAATGTTAAAATGGCTTCACAAGAAATTGGAAATGTTGGTGGGCAGAACGTGCTAAACGACACTCACTCTGAAAGTGGAGCTCCGGTGAACAATGGTTCACAACGCGGAGCATCTACTTTGGGCAACCAAGGGGCAATCCCTATGGTTATCGTGTCAAGCAACTTTGTGGAGAAACCCGAAAAATTTAATGGGTTAAACTTCAAGAGGTGGAAGCAAAAGATGCTATTCTATCTCACTACTCTCGATCTTGCAAGGTTCTTGACCGAAGATGCGCCGGTTGCAACCGGGGGTGAGGTGGATGCGCAATCTTTCAACGCGGTTGAAGCATGGAAGCATTCTGACTTCCTTTGCCGAAACTACGTGTTGAACGGGCTGCATGAGGCTTTGTACGACGTGTATAGCAAATTAGCTACGGCTAAGGAGCTATGGAATGCTTTGGACCACAAATATAAAAGTGAGGATGCCGGCGCAAAGAAATTTGTTGTTGGTTGATTCCTTGATTTTAAAATGGTGGATTCGAAGACGGTCTCGAGTCAAGTTGAGGAAATGCAAATGATCTTCAACGAAATTCGAGATGAAGGAATGACAGTTAGTGAGTCTTTCCAAGTGGCGTCAATTATCCATTTATTGCCGCCGGCTTGGAAGGATTTCAAGAACTACTTTAAGCATAAGCGAAAGGAAATGAACTTGGAGCAATTGATCCTCCATCTGCGGCTTGAAGAGGATAACCGGAAGAACGATGGGAAACTCCCAATCGTTACCAGCGCCAAGGACAACGTGGTGGAGCATGCTAAAGGCTCCAAAAATAAAAATAATGGGAAGAGCAAGCTCGGTCCCAAGGGAGGCATTTCCAAGACGAAGTTCAATGGAAAATGTTTCAATTGCAATAAAAACGGACACAAGTCCGCGGATTGCAAGGCACCCAAGAAGAAGAGGGACTCTCAAGTCAACTTGGTGCAAGGTGTGCAAAAGGATGAAGACATTATCCTTGCGGCCGTGGTGACCGAGGTCAACCTCGTTGGATCCAATTCCAAGGAGTGGTTCGTGGACACCGGTGCTACACTGCTACCTAACATATTTGCATAAATCGGGAGTTATTCACTACTTTTGAGCCATC